ATGTCTCAGCATCTTCAGTAGCTGGAACTACAGAGGCATGTGCCACCACATCCAGCTAATTTTTTGTATTTTGGGTAGAGTCAGGGTTTTGCTATGTTAGCCAGGCTGGTCTTGAACTCCTGGCCTCAAGTGATTCACCCACTTCTGCTGCCTCCCACAGTGCTGGGATTATAGGTAGGAGCCACTGCTGGCCAGGATCCCTCCACTGCCCCAACAGAGTGTTGCTCTGTCACCCAGGCTGGAGTGCAGTTGGCTCACTGCAACCTCTACCTCCCAGGTTCAAGCAATTCTCCTGCCTCAGCCTCCTGAAAAGGTAGGATTACAGGCACCTGCCACCACGCCCAGCTAATTTTTGTGTTTTTAGTAGAGATGGGGTTTCATCACATTGGCCAGGCTAGTCTTGAATTCTTGACCTCGTGATCCACCTACCTTGTCTCCCAGAGTGCTGGGATTACACGCATGAGCCACTGTGCCCAGCGGATTTTTAAAAAATACATGAATAAGAAATGTCAGGGAGTGCCTGTGTGTGTTTAAAGTAGAAATAGTTATATATGCAGTAGGAATTGTTCACTTAAAATACAAGCATCTCCATCCTACCGGATTTAGGAACCACGCTTAATATTGTGGGACGGCCGGGCGCGGTGGCTCACGCCTGTAATCCCAGCACTTTGGGAGGCCGAGGCGGGTGGATCACGAGGTCAAGAGATTGAGACCATCCTGGTCAACTTGGTGAAACCCCGTCTCTACTAAAAATACAAAAAATTAGCTGGGCATGGTGGCGTGTGCCTGTAATCCCAGCTACTCAGGAGGCTGAGGCAGGAGAATTGCTTGAACCCAGGAGGCGGAGGTTGCGGTGAGCTGAGATCGCGCCATTGCACTCCAGCCTGGGTAACAAGAGCGAAACTCCGTCTCAAAAAAAAAATATTGTGGGAGAGGTAAAGATGTTGTGTTTGACTCAGGGATGGAAGGAGAGGAATTGAAAGCAGTGTTGGTATTGGACGGTGCTTTGCAGTCAGGCAATTGGGTCTGAAGTACTCTGCTAGTTATTAGCTTGTGTGCCATGTAAGCTGTTGATTTAACCTGTCTGAGCCTCAGTTTCCCCATCTGTGAAACTAAAGTAGTAACAGACGCTTCCATTTAAAGTGGTTTTAAGGCTTCAATGATGCCTAGCCCATGCTTAGCTAAGTGTGGTGGACAGAACAGTGGCCCTCAAAAGATGTTCACAGCCTCATCCCCACAACCTGGAAATAACTCACTTTAATGGCCAAAGGAGCTTTGTGGGTTTGATTAAATTAAGGATCTTGAGATGAGAAGAGTGCCCTGAATTACCTGGTGGGCCTCATGTGACCCCCAGAGGCCTTATAAGGGAAAGAGGGAGGCAAGAGAGCTGGAACCAGAGCTGTGAAGATGCAAGCAGAGCCCGGAGTGACGCCAGCACTTTCAGCAGCTCTGAAGACGAGGAAGGGGCTGTGAGCCAAAGAAGGCAGGTGGCCTCGAGAAGCTGAAAAGGCAAGGAGACACATTCTCCTCTAGTGCTCCCGGAAGGAGGGAGGGCAGCCCTACCGCACCTAGATTTTAGCCCTGTAAGTACCCGTTTCAGACTTTTGACCTCTGGGTCTGTAAGATAATAAATTTGCGTTGTTTTTAGCCACAAAGTTTATGCTGATTTGTGCAACAGTAACAGGAAACTCATATCCCAAGCACCTGGCACATGGTGAGAATCTGAAAATGTTCTCCATCATGATCCTCTTGTGACAGATGGGACACCCAGGCAAGCAGCAGAGAAGGGCCTCAACAGAGCTACTTGGTAAGGGAGGGCAGAGCCAGAGTTACTGCTTAGTAACTCTGAGTAGTAACTTCTGCAAATGGTTGTTGGGGGCCTCTTCTGCATCTGTCTATCCGTCGGGAATGCACTAGAGGCCTGCGGTGTTAATGATACTCGAAGCTGACATTTATATAGTGTTTGCTCTGTGCCAGGCAGTATTCCAGGCGCTTGGTATGTTATTTCTCATTCTATGGATTTGAACATTCTCAACAACTTTGTGAGATAGATATTGTTACTGTCCCCATTTCACAGGTTCGGATACTGAGGCACAAGGGGTGAAATGAAACCATTTGCTCCAGGATCACACCGCAGGAAATCAGCAGAGTTGGGAAGGACCAGACACTGTTCTTGGCCTTGGGGACGCAGTAGGCAACAACTAAGACACTGTCCTTTCTCTCATGAAGCCTAAAAGTCTAGTGGGAGAGACAGATGCTAGACAAATAAAAACAAAAAAGATGTAACTGTGTAATGCCCGGCGGTAACCATGAAGGAAAGTAAAGCCGGGGCAGGAGACACGGTGGCACCGACTGCAGGTGAGGGAGGCTGCTTCCGGTCTTGAGTGACATCTGAGTGGGCACCTGAATCACAGAAGGCAAACTTTGACCCAGCTATGGGTATGTTGGAGGGAAAAGTGATGTACAGAGGCTATGAGGTGGGAAGGAGCAGACTGTTCTTGGCACAGAAGGGAGGCCGGTGTGACTGGTGGAGAGTGACCAAGCCTGACCAGAGGCTACCCAGTCAGACTGGGACTTCTTTTTTTTTGAGACAGAGCCTTGCTCCCTTGCCCAGGCTGGAATGCAGTGGCATGATCTTGGCTCACTGCAACCTCCACCTCCTGGGTTCAAGTGATTCTACCTCAGCCTCCCCAGTAGCTAGGATTACAGGCACTCACCCACCACCATACCTGGCTAATTTTAATTTTTGTATTTTAGTAGAGACAGGGTTTCACCATGTTGGCTAGGCAAGTCTCAAGCTCCTGACCTCAAGTGATCCACCTGTCTCAACCTCCCAAAGTGCTGGGATTACAGGTGTGAGCCATCACGCCTGGCCCAGACTGGGACTTCTCATGATCCCAGGCAGCACCGTACACTGCCCAGGTCCCAGGGCTGAGAGTGGCAGTGGAGGCAGGGGAGTCTCCCAGCCCCAGCCTTAGGCAGGCCCTTCCTCCCACACCACCTTCCTCCTCCAGCACGTCAGTGGCGTGATGGGGGAGCACGCGTGGACTGTTGCCAGCCTGCCTGGGTTCCGGTCCGGCTTTGCCACCCACCAGCTGTGAAGTTACATAACCGCTTCCTGCCTCCGTTTGCTCATGTGTAAGATGGAGATAATTATAGCAGCTGCCTGGCAGAGCCGTTGCAGAAGAGTAGGTACGTGTATTATTAGCAGGAGTCTGGCGCACCAGGAGCACTGAGCGCACTCAGATGTTGGCCGCAGTTGTGGTTGTAGTTGTTAATTCTGTGTCGTCTCAATTTCCTCCGGAGGGAGGGTAAGTTTTTTTTTTGGAGACAAGGTCTCATCACTGTCACCTAGAGTGCAGTGATGAGAACACGACTCACTATAGCCTTGACCTCCCCAGGCTCAAGTGATCCTCCCGCCTCAGCCTCCTGAGTAGCTGGGACCACAGGTGTGTGCCACCATGCCTAGCTAATTTTTGTATTTTTATAGAGACAAGTTCTGCCTGTGTTGCCCAGGCTGGTCTTGAACTCCCAGCCTCAAGCAATCCAGCCTCCCAAAGGGCTGGGAATACAGACGTGAGCCACTGCGCCCGGCCAAGGAAGGAAACCACCTTCCCTTTTTGCATGTGGGGAAGCTGCCTCACAGAGAGGTTGATTACATCATGCAGGGTTGTGTAGTTTGGAAATGGCATTGCTGTATTTGAGCCCAGGCCCACCTCACCCCAAGTCCAGGCTCCCTCATCCCATACAGTGGTGTTCCTGTTGAGAGCAGTGTGCAGGCGATGTCTAGATGAGCTGACAGGGAGGCAGCAGAGCAGACTGGAGCATCTGCCATCACCAGGGGTGGGAGAGGGCACTGTAGGGTGGTGGAAGGTACTTCATTGTTTTTTTTTGTTTTTTTTTTGAGACAGAGTCTTGCTCTGTCACCCAGACTGAAGTGCAGTGGCACGATGTCTGCTCACTGCAACCTCTGCCTCCCAGGTTCAAGAGATTCTCGTGCCTCAGCCTCCTGAATTGCTGGGGCTACAGGCATGTGTCACCATGCCCAGCTAATTTTTATATTTTTAGTAGAGAAGGGGTTTCGCCATGTTGGCCAGGCTGGCCTCAAGTGATCCACAGCCTCGGCCTCCCAGAGTGCTGGGATTACAGGCATGAGCCACTGCACCTGGCCTAGGTACCTCTGAGAGTTGTAATAATGTGTCATCCTAGCATCCTAATATAAGAGTCCCAAATCAGAAGGCAGGACACTTGCCTCAACCATTCCTAACTGCCTCCCACCCCCGCACAGCTTTCTGTACCGTCATCTGTTAGACAGAAATGGCAGATCTACAGATAGCTCTTTTCTTTCAACAAATAGTTGTCAAGCACTGACTAATAATACCTCCTGACTGACGGCAGTTAATTGCCTACTCCTCGCCATGCCCTGTGGCCATCATTTATGTGCATGATCCTAGATATGGTGATCATTCCCATTTTACAGATGAGAAAACTGAAGCTCTAGAAGGTTAGCTGGCATGGTCACACAGCTAGTGTGCAGCAGAGCTGGGGTTCAAACCCAGGAACCAGTAGTGAGCAAGACCGGACAAGGCCCCCGCCCTCAGGGAGCTCTCATGGAGTCCTGTGTGATTGTGGGTAGGGGGTGACATGTGCTGTTTGTCTGCATGATGATTTGAATAAAGTTAAACTCTGGCAAGTGCTTACCAAGCAGAGCTCCATGGTGGCATGTGACAGGCTGACCTGGTGGAGTCTGGAGAGGTTGGGGAAGCAAGTGTGTGTGGGGTAGGGTGTATGCATTCATTCAGTGACGACTTTGTGAGCTCTTGCTCCATGCCATACTCTGTGCTGTCGAGGGGACACATGGCACCACTCAGCCCTGGTGTTCCCCATCACAGAGTTGACATTACAGAGACATGGGGATCCAGAGGAGATTCATCCTGAGGTCCCACAGTGAGCCCAGAGGCGAAGCAGGCACTGACAGTGGCCTTTCTCTCTGCCCACAGTTGGAGAAGGAGGAGCAGATACATAGCGTGGACATCGGGAATGATGGCTCAGCTTTTGTGGAGGTGCTAGTGGGCAGCTCGGCTGGAGGTGCTGGGGAGCAAGACTATGAGGTAAGTAAGCAGGGCTGTGAGATGGATCCTGTACTGACCTCTGCCTCTCATCCCTTCATCACCCTTTCCCCCAGGGCTTGGGGCTGGGAAGACATGGGGCAGATGGGAGTCATACCTGATTGCTGCCCTCTGGAGGATTATCCAGTGTGCAGAGGAGACAGAAGGCAGACACGGGGCGGTAAACTGTACATCAGGGAAGAGAGCAAGTTTGCATCCTGGTTTAAAATGACACAAATGTATTATCTGACTGTTCTGGGGATCGGAAGTCTAAAATCACGCTCACTGGGCTAAAATCTAGGTGTACACAGAACTGCGTTCCTTCTGGAGGCTCTAAGGGAGAATCCATTTTCTTGCCTATTTCAGCTTCTGGAGTCCACCTGCCCTCCTCAACCTGTGACCGTTTCTTCATCAAAGCCAGCACCCCTGTCCTTGTCACTCTAATGCCTGCTTCCATTTCCATCATCACTTCTCCAACTCGCTCTTGCCTTCTTGTTTTCTTTTTCTTAGGTTCTTTTTTTTTTTTGAGACAGGGTTTCATTTCTGTTGCCCAGGCTAGTGCAATGGCATGATTTCAGCTCACTGTAACTTCCACCTCCGAGGTTTAAGCGATACTCCTGCCTCAGCCTCCCAAGTAGCCAGGGCTACAGGCATGCACCACCAGTCCTGGCTGATTTTTATGGTTTTTGTAGAGACAGGGTTTCATTGTGTTGTCCGGGCTGATCTCAAACTCCTGGGCTCAAGCGATCTGCCTACCCTAACCTTCCAAAGTGCTGGGATTACCACACCCAGCCCTCCTTTCTTATAAAGTCCCTTATGATGACACTTGGCCCACCTGGATAATCCAGAGTCATCTCCCCCACTTTATCATCTTCACCTTCACATGTGCACATCTCCAGGTTCAGGGATTCGGATGTAGACGTCTTTGAGGAGCAGTTGTTCTGCCTGTCACTGTCCCCTATGTTCTCTTCTAGAAGCCTTCTATTTTTAGTTTTTACATTTAGATCTCTGTTTCATCTCAAGTGAATTTTTGTGTATTGTGTGAAACGGGATAAGGTTCGTCTCTTCTGTATCTTTTATATGTTTGTTGACAATGCTTATTTATTTACTTATTTTGAGACAGGGTCTCACTCTGTTGCCCAGGCTGGAGTGCAGTGGCATGATCTTGGCTCACTGCAACCTCCACTTTCTGGACTCAAGGGATTCTCCAGCCTCAGTCTCCTGAGTAGCTGGGACTATAGGCGTGAGCCACCATGCCTGGCTAAGTTTTTAAAAAAAATTTTATAGAAATGGGGTTTTACCGCGTTGCCTGGCTGGTCTTGAACTCCTGCGCTTAAAGTGATCCTCCTACCTTGGCCTTCCAAAGTACTGGCATTATAGGCCTGAGCCACTGTGCCTGGCTAAAAATACTTTTAAAAAAAGACTTCTCTTTTCTCATTGAATCATTTTGACTCTTTGTTGAGAATTAATTGACCATATGTATGGGTTTATTTCTGTACTCTCTTCTCTGTTCTAATGATATGTGTATTTTTCTTTATGCCAATACCAAACTGTCTTTTTAAAATCATATATTTTATTTTATTTTTTGAGATGGGGTTCTCACTCTGTTGCCCAGGTTGGAGTACAGTGGCGTGATCTTGGCTCACTGCAACCTCTGCCTCCTGGGCTCAAGTGATCCTCCTGCCTCAGCCCCCGAAGTAGCTGGTGTGAGCCACCATGCCTGGCTAATTTTTAAATATTTTTTGTAGAAACAGGGTTTCACTATGTTGCCTAGGCTGGTCTTGAACTCTTGAGGTCAAGTGATCCATCTGCCTCGGCCTCCCAAAGTGCTAGGATTACACATGTGAGCCACTGCGTGCACCTGGCCTACTCTTTTTTTCTTTTTTTTGAAACATGGTCTCACTTTGTCACCTGGGTTAGAGTGCAGTGGCATGATCTCAGCTCATGGCAGCCTTGACCTCGGGGTTCAAGCAATCCCCCTGCCTCACCCCCCCAAGTAGCTGAGACTACAGGCTTGCACCATCATGCCCAGCTGATTTTTCTGTTTTTGTAGAGACGGGGTTTTGCCGTGTGGCCCAGGCTGATCTGAAACTCCTGAGCTCAAGCAATCCACCTGCCTCGGCTTCCGTATACTCTTCATTCATATTCCCCAAAGTTAACAAATATGTACGTAGTTTTTTTTTCTGAACTGAGAGTAAATTGTGTGCATGATGCCCCTTTATCCCTGAATACTCCGGTATTCCCTAAAAGCGGAGACATTTCTTACTTGACTGCAGTGCAATTACAAAATTAGGAAATTAACATTGATACAATGCTATATCATCCAATCTCAGACTTTCTTCACATTTCTTTCATTGTCCCAATAATGTTATCTGTTATAGCAAAAGAAAATTCTGGATCATGCATTGCATTGATTTGTCACATCTCCTTGGTTTCCTTTTATTAAAGAGTTCCTGTGATGGTCAGGCATGGTGGCCCACGCCTATAATCCCAGAACTTTGGGAAGCCGCGGTGGGAGGATCACTTGAGCCCAAGTTAGAGACCAGCCTGGGCAACATTCTGAGACCATGTCTCTACTAAAAAATAAAAAGAAGGCCTGGCATGGTGGCTCATGCCTGTAATCCTAGCACTTTGGGAGGCCAAGACGGGTGGATCACTTGACCTCGGGAGTTTGAGACCAGTCTGGGCAACAATGGCAAAACCTTGTCACAGAAAGAAAGAAAGAAAAAAGGGAAATAAAAAAAAAAAAGAGGAAAGAGAAGTACAACAAAACCACAGCTCATATGAAGAAAAAAAAAAAGGTTCCTGCGACTTTGGGTTTTGTGCCTTTGATGTTTTTGAAGAGTAGAGGTCAGTGATTTTGTCAGATGTCACTTATTGTACAAAATGTCTGATGTTTCTTTGTGATTAATTTTGGTTGCACACTTTGGGCAGAATACCCGAGAAGTGATGTGCAGTATACAATTGATTTCGTATATTGGCTTCTTATCTTTTGACCTTCACTTACTCACCCTTGCAGTTTGTCTGGGTCTCTTGGGATTTGATGCATACATAATTACATCAGCTGTGAAGAAAGATAGTTTTCTTTTTCTTTTCCTCACCTCGTCACACTGACTGGTACAGTGTTGAACAGAAGTGGTCAAAGTGGACATCCTTACCTTGGTCCTGATCTTAGGGGGAAGCCGTTGAGTTTTTCACCATTAAATATGACGTTAGCTGTAGGTTGTTTGTTTTTTATAGATGTCCTTTTTCAGGTTGAGAAAGTTCTTTTCTATTTCTGGTTTGCTGAAAGCTTTGCTTTTTTTTTTTTTTTCATGAATGTGTGTTGAATCTTATCAAGTGTTTTTTCTGCTCTACAAGGTACATTTTAACATATGAAGTTTCTGACCTGGTGCTGTGGCTCATGCCTGTACCCAGTGCTATGGGAGGCCAAAGCGGGAGGATCACTTGAAGCCAGTAGTTTGAGACCAGTCTAGGCATCAAGGCAAGACCCTGTCTGTACAAAAAAATACAAAAATTGGCCAGGCATGGTGGTGCATACTAGTAATCCCAGCTACTCAGGAGGCTGAGGTGGGAGGGTCCCTTGACCCCTGGAGGTGGAGGCTGCAGTGAGCTATGATCATGCCACTGCATTTCAGCCTGATGACAAACTGAGACTGTCTCAAAACAAAAAAAAAGTTATGTGTTCTTTTTGGCAAATGGATTTAGATCAAAATTCTACTTTATTTATTTATTAAGGCAGGGTCTCACTCTGTCACCCAGGCTAGAGTACAGTGGCATGATCATGGCTCACTGCAGCCTCAACCTCCCCAGGCTCAGGTTATCCTCCCACCTCAGCCTCCTTACTAGTTGGGACTACAGGTGCCTACCACCATACCTGGCTTATTTTTGTATTTTTAGTGGAGATGGGGTTTTGCCATGTTGCCCAGGCTGGTCTCAAACTCCCAGGCTCAAGGAATCTGCCTGCCTTGGCCTCCCTAAGTGCTGGGATTACAGGCATGAACAACTGCACCCGGCCAGAATTCTACTTTGTAATGATAAAGACAGAATAAGTACTTTTTTTTCTTTTTTTGAGACAGAATCTTACTCTATCTCCAGACTGGAGTGCAGTGGTGTGATCTCGGCTCACTGCAATTTCCACCTCCCAAGTTCAAGTGAGTCCCCTGCCTCAGCCTCCCGAGTAGCGGGACTACAGGTGCACACCACCACGCCTGGATAATTTTTTGTGTTTTAGTAGAGACGGGGTTTCACCATGTTAACCTGGAAGGTCTCCATCTCCTGACCTTGTGGTCCACCCACCTCAGCCTCCCAAAGTGCTGGGATTACAGGCATGAACCACTGGGCTCAGCTCTAGAATAAGTACATTTTTAGCTAAAATTTTATTGTATCTGGTATGTGAATGTTTATTTACCTTTGCTCTTTTCTAGCACAGTGGAATGGCTAGTTGTATTAGTCAGGGTTCTCCAGAGAGACAGGACCAATAGTTATAGGTACAGTATAGATAGAGAAAGAAGAGATTAGGAGAGTTGGGTCACATGATTATGGAGACTGCAAAGTCCCATGATAGACTGTCCGCAAGCTGGAGAACCAGGGAAGCTGGTTAAGCCCAAGTGTAAGACCCTAAAATCAAGGAAGCCAGCGGTCTAACCCTCAGAGGAAATCTCGGTTCATGTGCATAGCAGCTATCAACCACAGCTTGCCTTACCCCTTTCAGTCACCAGATGTTAAATGCAGCTTCCCTGTCAGCTCCAAATCAGGCCTTTTATAACCAAGTAGAGTCAAGGTCAGCGAGAAAGCTTCCCTTCTGTATAACTGTCTTTCTTGTTTCCTTTGCACAATCAGCCGGGCACCAAGAGACCTATAGTTATGTTCTGTTTTTCTCAGCAAAAGGCTTTATTGTCCAATTTTATAAATTTCACAGCATGTTATTTAGAAAAAAGACTAAGTGACTAAGTTTGTAACAGAATGTACCCAACCAAAAGTGGCTGTATTTATCTTTTTTTTTTTTTGGCAGAGTCTTGCTCTGTCACCCAGGCTGGAGTGCAGTGGCGCAATCTTGGCTCACCGTCACCTCCACCACCCCCTCCCGGGTTCAGGAGATTCTCGGGCCTCAACCTCCCAAGTAGCTGGGATTACAGGTGTCTGCCACCATGCCTGGCTGAATTTTGTATTTTTAGTAGAGATGGGGTTTCACCATGTTGGCCAGGCTGGTCTCAAACTCCTGGCCTCTTGTCACCCAGGCTGGAGTGCAGTGGTGCAATCTCAGCTCATTGCAACCTCTGCCTTCTGGGTTCAAGCGATTCTCCTGCCTCAGCCTCCCGAATAGCTGGGATTACAGGTGCCTACCTCCATGCCTGGCTAACTTTTGTATTTTTAGTAGAGATGGGGTTTCACCATGTTGGCCAGGCTGGTCTTGAACTCTTAACTTCAAGTTATCCGTCTGCCTTGACCTCCCAAACTGCTGGGATAATAGCCGTGAGCCACTGTGCCTGGCTTCAGCTAGGGTTTTTCTTTTCTTTTTTTTGAGACGGAGTTTCACCCTTGTTACCCAGGCTGGAGTGCAGTGGCGCGATCTCGGCTCACCGCAACCTCCGCCTCCTGGGTTCAGGCAATTCTCCTGCCTCAGCCTCCTGAGTAGCTGGGATTACAGGCACATGCCACCATGCCCAGCTAATTTTTTTTTGTATTTTTAGTAGAGACGGGGTTTCACCATGTTGACCAGGATGGTCTCGATCTCTTGACCTCATGATCCACCCGCCTCGGCCTCCCAAAGTGCTGGGATTACAGGCGTGAGCCACCGCGACCAGCCAGCAAGCTAGGGTTTTTCAATGCAGATTGCCAACATGAATTTTTACTCTAAATCCTTGAGAGAATAGACTTGTGAGGAGTACTGTTCTCACAAGTTAGATAAGGGTCACTCATATCTGGAGGTTTAAACGATCCCAGCCAGGCATGGTGGCTCACTTTGGGAGGCCAAGGCAGGTGGATCACAAAGTCAGGAGTTTGAGACCAGCCTGTCCAATATGGTGAAACACTGTTTCTACTAAAATACAAAAATTAGCCCGGTGAGGTGGCACACGCTTGTAGTTCCAGCTACTTGGGAAGCTGAGACAGAAGAATTGCTTGAACCTGGGAGGTAAAAGTTGCAGTGAGCTGAGATCACGCCACTGCACTCCAGCCTGGGCAACAAAGCATAACTCCATCTCAAAAAAAAAAAAAAATCTTTCTGCGGCCTGTGTCAGGCAGGACTGACTCAAGGACCAGAAACAAAGGCAGGATCTGGAGACATGTAGGCCCAAGCTACATTCTGGAGGCTCCCAGTTCCCTACATGGGCCCTCTGCCCTCTTCCCAAGCCCTGAGACGCTCTCATTTAAGCCAGCTTGCCCTGGTTCTCATTCACTGTGGCTTCTCCCACCCAGGTCCTTCTGGTCACCTCATCTTTCATGTCCCCTTCTGAGAGCCGCAGTGGTTCGAACCCCAACCGCGTTCGCATGTTTGGGCCTGACAAGCTGGTCCGGGCAGCAGCCGAGAAACGCTGGGACAGGGTCAAAATTGTTTGCAGCCAGCCCTACAGCAAGGTACCTAGGGTGGGAGCCAGGGGTGCAGAGTCCTTGATCCTGGGCAAGGAGGGAAATAAGGGCCAATATTGAGTCCCATAGGGCCGGAGGAGTAGACAGCTGGTGTCCCCATGGGGTTATGGGGAGGCCAGGTCTTTGTGTTCCCCAAAATGGGTTTGGGATCTTTCCTGTAATGAGAAGTCTCATCTTCTGGAGGGAATCTAGGAAGGGTGAACTGTAGAATCTCAGAGGGGAATTGGAGGAGGGGAACTGGCTTGTTAGAGAGGTGGCCTAGTAGAGTGGGCCTAGTAGTTAACATGAGATCTAGAGTCTGACTACTGAGTTCACGTCCTGGCTATACCACTTTTTAGCTGTGTGATCTTGGGCAAGTGACTTACCCTCTCTGGGCCTCCATTTCCTGATCCTTACAGGGTTGCTGTAGGTTAATGGGTGCTAAAAGCTCTGGTATCAGTGAGACTGGAGTATGTGATGATGCCACACAATAGAGGTGTACTTCTTGCCTAGGTGACTGTCCTGGGGAGTGTTTAGCCTGTCAGCTGGCTGCTCCTTACAAGGTCATACAGGGACCCAGGCCTCTCCTGTTTTCTGGGTCTGCTTCTTGCTGGCAGAGGAGAGAGCCTGGAACATTTCTGTATTCTGGAAGTGGGAGGCAACACTGCCTCCCATTCCACAGGAGGAGTTTGTCCATAGGGCAGTGGATTCGCTGGGACACCCAGTAGACCGCCAGTTGCTCGGAGAGCTAATGCGTGAAAAGGACTTGGAGCCGGACTCAGTTTGGGCTCAGTCATTAACAGCTTCATCCTGTAATCGTCATCAGGGCCCCTCCTTCAACATGCGTGTTCACGAGAAGGAAAGAGCCAGGAAGGGGTTTCCCTGAGTGAAAGGGTCTTGGGGCCTGGCCTCTGTCCTTGGGCCAGACTCCCTGACCCCCACCCCTTCTTTCCCAGGACTCCCCCTTTGGCCTGAGTTTTGTACGGTTTCATAGCCCCCCAGACAAAGATGAGGCAGAGGCCCCGTCCCAGGTAAGCTGTACCCGTCATTCCCTATAGCCTTCTCCCTGCCTCTCCACCCCTGCCCGCCAGCAGCCCACATACAGCACTGACCTTGCGGGACCTTAGAAGGTGACGGTGACCAAGCTTGGCCAGTTCCGTGTGAAGGAGGAGGACGAGAGCGCCAACTCCCTGAGGCCAGGGGCTCTCTTCTTCAGCCGGGTCAAAAAGACATCCCAAGGTGAGCGCGGACAACCTGGGTCCTGAGTGAGCGTGGTTGAGATGTAGACTCGTGGGTCTGAGGGTAGAGGGCTGGCATTCAGATTCTTGGTGAGGGAGGAGGGTGGTGGAGTCCTGGACTCCTGAGTTTCAGGGTGGAGGAAGGTGGGTCTGGCCTCTTGTGTCCTGAGGGATGAGAGGTCTGGGGGCTGGGACTCCTGGATCATTGCTGGGTTTTGGAAACAATACTCTGTGTCCCATAGATAGGAGTAGAAGGATCTTGAGGCTACCCCTCTCATCCTGGATCCACTTTCTCCCTTCATAGCCACAGCCAGTGACGTGGCAGGACCCAGCTACGCAGCTGCCACCCTCCAAGCCTCCAGTGCTGCCTCCTCAGCCTCTCCAGTCTCCAGGGCTATAGGCAGCACCTCCAAGGTGAAATCATCAGACTTTGGTGGGGTGGAGGAGGAGAGAAGCTGAAGGCCTCAACCTATCCCCATCCCTCAGCTCCAGGAGTCTCCCAAAGGGAAGAGGAAGTTGGATTTGAACCAAGAAGAAAAGAAGACCCCCAGCAAACCACCACCCCAGCTGTTGCCACCTGTTTCCAAGAGACCTAAATGTAAGCTAACTAGATATGTGTTCCCATAGGGGCATGTGCTCCTGTGTCCTATTCCCTAGGGGAATAGGAGTTGGGGACCTCAACCCCTGGGTCTGAGGGAGGAGGGGCTGGGGGCCTGGACCTCTGGGTCAGAGGGAGGAGGGGCTGGGTCCTGGACTCCTGGGTCTGAAGGAGGAGGGGCTGGGAGCTTAGCCTCAGTGGTGCTAACTGAATCTATTCTTCATCTTCCCCAGTGCCAGCTCCCACCCGTACCCCAGCCACAGCCCTAGTCCCTGCCCCAGCACAGGGGGTAGTGACAGGCCAGCCCCGAGGAGAAGGCACCGAGCCCAGACGATCCCGAGCTGGCCCAGAGGAGCTGGGGAAGATCCTTCAGGGTGTGGTAGTGGTGCTGAGTGGCTTCCAGAACCCCTTCCGCTCCGAACTGCGAGATAAGGCCCTAGAGCTGGGGGCCAAGTATCGGCCAGACTGGACCCCGGACAGCACGCACCTCATGTAGGCCTGTGCCCCTCCTCCCTGCGCTGCCGCAGTCTCTCCCCCAGCTCCCTGTGTCTCCCTCACCTGGTGCCTTCTCTTTGTGTCCGCTGTGTTACATGCTTTTTCTCTCTCTCTCTCTCTGGCTCACTCACTCTCTTTCTGCTTGCACTCTGTAGCTTTGTCTTTTGCTCTCTGATTTTTTTATCTCTCCCTCGATATCCAACCTCTTTCTGTTTCTCCCACCTCTATCTCATGATCTCTCTCTCTGTCTCCTTGTCTCTCTTTCCCCTTTGCCCCTCAGATCACACCTAACTGACATCCTCACTTCTGCCCCCCACCAGCTGTGCCTTTGCGAACACCCCCAAGTACAGCCAGGTCCTAGGCCTCGGAGGCCGCATTGTGCGTAAGGAGTGGGTGCTGGACTGTCACCGCATGCGTCGGCGGCTGCCCTCCCGGAGGTGAGGCCACATACACACTAACCCTGCTTTTTATCCTGTGCTGGGCAATGTCAGGGATCTGGAGAGGAGTCAGACTAGGGCCTGCCAGCAGAGAGCACAGGTGGTCCCAGCCCAGAGTCAGCAGACTCCTGAGAGGAATGTGGCAGGGGCTGGGGGACTCCAGATGAGGGAAGGAGGACCTGCCTGGGAGGTCACAGAGGGCTCTGTGAAGCCTGCTTATCAGAAAAGGCTGGAGGAGTAGTTTGTGCAAAGACTCTGGGGTGGGAGAACAAGTGCTGGGGTCCACATTCATTCATTCAAAGTGAGTCCTGGCACAGTGGCTCACACCTGTAATCCCAGCACTCTGGGAGGCTGAGGTGGACGGATCACTTGAGGGCAGGAGTTTAAGACCAGCCTGGCCAAGATGGTGAAGCCCTGTCTTTACTAAACATACAAAAATTAGCTGGGTGTGGTGGCACATGCCAGCTGCTCAGAAGGCTGAGGCAGGAGAATTGCTTGAACCCGGGAGCCAAAATCATGCTATTGCCTCCAGCCTGGGCAACAGAGTGAGACTCTGTCTCAACCAAAAAAACCAAAGGAGTCCTGGAAGCCTTTGCTTGGTGCCAGGCTGGACTGTGCAGGGCTGAGGATCCAGTTATCAAGCCCTGCCCTTGAAGGCTTCTCACTATGATGAGGGATCAGAATTTTAACAGTGCAATGGAAGCCCCAAGGGGTGGCACGCAGAGAGCAAGGGGTGTTCAAGGTCCACAAGAAGTTTTTCAAGCTGAACAGAGGCAGAGAACATGCTGGGCAGAGGAGACAAGGTCAGGGTAGCCTGTCGTCTGCCTGGAGGAGTTGCAGGTGGGGCTGAGCTTACTGGGGGCAAGAAGTGGCAGGAAAAATGGAACCAGGGGCAGTAGGAACTACAGAGGTCTTTGGACTGAGCAAAGGCAGTGTGGTGGATTGGAAGGGAAACTGGATTGTCCTTCATGGCCTGAGTGTGTTCAGAAGTTAGCTGTGCCTAGTGTGTTTGAAAAATGAGGAGATCGATCCAAGATGGCCGACCACTAACAGCTCAGGATTGTAGCTCCCAGTGAAAGCCCAGAGAACGAGACGACGCCACACTTTTAGACGAATTTTCGTCACTCACCGATCAGCCGATTCCCAGTGGAGGAGCCCCACGGGTCGCCAGCACGACTCTTGTGGCCGCCGCAGCGGTTTTGCCGGCGTCTCGGCGCAGCAGCTCTTCATGCAGAGCCAACGGGACTGCTTCCCCTACTGACCGGAGTTTGGAGCTCCGGGAACTCAGAGCCGCTTGTTGCGGACTCAAGAGGGAAGCCAGACCAGAGATTCCCGGGCAGAAGAGCACCATCAGTCTCACCGCTGCTATTTAGGCTGCCACAGTGGGTTGCTCGGATCCCAGCACTGGGAATCAATAAGTCGGACGTCGACTCAGAAAACTAATTAGAAAGGCGGTTCATCTACAATGAAGGGAAAAAAACAGCCTAAGAAGGCCGAGTATACTCAAAATCAGAACCCATCAGCAACAGAACAAGCCCTGATGGAAAAGGACTCATCAGCAGCAGAACAAGCCCTGATGGAAAAGGACTCATCAGTAACGGAACAAGCCCTGATGGAAAAGGACTGTGTTCCATTATCTGAAGTAGGCTTTAAAAGGTGGATGATAAGAAACTTCTGGGAGTTAAAGGAACTTGTTCTAACCCAATGTAAAGAAACTAAGAACTTGGAAAAAAGGTTAGATGAAATGTTGAAAAGAATAGACAATATAGAGAGGAATACAAATGAACTTATGGAGTTGAAAAATACAACACGAGAACTTAGTGAAACATGTATAAGCTTAAACAGCCGAATGGATCAAGCAGAAGAAAGGGTATCAGAGGTCGAAGATCAACTTAATGAAACAACACAACAAGACAAGAATAGAGAAAAAAGGATAAAAAGGAATGAGCAAAGTCTCCAAGCAATATGGGACTATGTGAAAAGACCTAATATACGCTTGATTGGTATACCTGAACGTGACGGAGAGAATGAATTCAAGCTGGAAAATACTCTCCAGGACATTATCCAGGAAAATTTTCCTAATTTAGCAAAGCAGGACACTGTTCAACCCCAGGCAATACAGAGAACACCACAAAGATATTCCTCAAGAAGACCAACCCCAAGGCACATAATTGTTAGATTCACCAAGATCGAAACGAAGGAGAAAATATTAAGGGCAGCCAGAGAGAAAGATCAAGTTACCCATAAAGGTAAGCCTATTAGGCTTACAGCAGATCTCTCAACAGAAACCCTACAAGCTAGAAGACAGTGGGGTCCAATATTCAATATACTTAATCAACAGAACTTTCAGCCCAGAATTTCATATCCAGCCAATTTAAGCTTTACATTTGAAGGAAAAATAAAATTTTTTAGGAACAAGCAAGTACTCAGAGATTTTATTACCACCAGGCCTGCTTTACAAGAACTTCTAAAAGAAGCACTATACACAGAAAGGAACAACCAGTATGACCCTTTCTAAAAATACACCAAAAAGTAAAGAGCATTAACATAAAGAAGAATTTTTATCAACAAAAGGACAAAATAGCCAGTTAATATCAAATGGCAGCAACCCTAAATTTAAATCAACCAAATCTCCCAATCAAAAGATACAGACAAAATCTAACGGTATATCCAAAGATATACATAGACTCAAAATAAAGGGTTGGAAAAAAAAAAACGTACCAACCAAATGGAGAGCAAAAATAAATAAATAAGCAGGAGTTGCAATTTTTACATTTGACAAAATAGATTTCAAAGCTACAAGGATACAAGGATAAAAGGATTAATGTAATAATAAGAGATCTTAACACCCAGATACATAAGACCCATAATGAGATTTAGATTCAACGAGTCAGAAAATTGATAACGATATCCGGGACTGGAACTAAGATCCAGAACAAATAAACTCAATAGGGCTCTCCATTTTAAACACACAAAATATACATTATCCACAAAATCTAACGATATATCTAAAGATATACAAAGACTCAAAACAAGGGGATGGAAAAAAGCTCACCAACCAAATGGAGAGCAAAAATAAATAAATAAAAAGCAGGAGTTGCAATTCTCACACTTAATAAAATAGATTTCAAAGCTACAAGGATGCAAGGGTAAAAGGATTAATACAACAATAAGAGATCTTAACACCCAGATACATAAGACACATAATGAGATTTAGATTCAACGAGACAACAAATTGATAAGATATCCAGGACTTGAACTCAGAACCAGAACAAATAAACACAACAGAGGTCTCCATTTTAAACACATAAAATATGCATTAACCACTTTAAACACTCAAAATATTGATCGGCCATTATTGAAACCCATTTTAGGAATGAAGTAATATTCCTTTTTCCCTCTTTTTCTTTTTTTCCCCTTCTTTTTCTCTTTTTCCCTCAAAAAAAAAAAAAAATAGAGAAAGAAAGAAAGAGAAAAGAAAAGAAATTTAGGAAAACAGAAAAAAAAAAAAAAAAAAAAGAAAAATGATCTGCCTGGGGAATGAATGAGGCTGTCAGGTGTGTGGGCTCAGGTCAGAAGGGGCTTGCAGAACCCAGCCTACATACTGGGCTCCATGCAGCTTCACAGAACCCTCATCTGCTGTTTGGGCATCCAAACATCTCTAGAAGCTGAAAGTTCTTTTCTAGGTTCAGCACAAACTCATTTTGCTGCAGTCATCCTGAATTAATATGAGGCTATTTGTAGACATTTTTTTTTTAATCCCCTTAAGTGTGTCATGGTCTTAACTACAGAAATATTAGTGGGTTTGATCATGGGGTGCTCCCCCAGGCCCCACTGGGGGTTTATGTAACAATCAGTATACTAGCCATTTGCCTCTCTAAAATCTGAAAGATTCAACATTCTGAAGGCCATCTGGCTCCAGGGGCCTCCTCTCTGAGTAGAGGGGAGTCATGGAAGGTTTGACAGGGGCAGGGGCAGGCTCTGTTGGGAGGGATGGAGTATCGGGAGGCTGCAGGTGGGGACCCCTGAGTAGGCCGGAGCCTCAGGAACAGAAGAGGGGAGAGGCTGGGGCTATATCTGGGTCCGAAGGAACCAGATGTGGGTTATTATCTGCCTGGCAGAATTTAAGGGAGGACATGGGATAAAAGGGAAAAAATGAACAGTGTTGGATTTGCAACTGGTCTTAACAAAAAGAATTCACAAAGCATTTTATATTTTTAAAAATTCTGGCTTGTACTCATTTGTAAAATAAAAACAATTATACAACCTAGGCAATGTAGTGAGACTCCATCTCTACAAAACATGAAAAAAATTATCCAGATGTGGTGACACATACCTGTAGTCCTAGCTACTTGGGAGGCTGAGGTGGTAGGATCACTTGAGCCCAGGAGGTCAAGACTGGAATGACTCCAGCCTAGGCGACAAATTGAAACCTTATCTCAAAAATAAAACTTTGACCAAGTGCAGTGGCTCACACCTGTAATTCCAGCACTTTGGGAGGCCAAGGCGGGTGGATAACTTGAGGTCAGGAGTTGGAGAGCAGCCTGGCCAACATGGTAAAACCCAATTTCTACCCCAAAATACAAAAATTAGCTGGGAATAGTGGCGCACACCTGTAGCCCCAGCTACTCTGGAGGCTAAGGTGGGAGAATCCCTTGAACCTGGGAGGTGGAGGTTGAAGTGAATTGAGATCTTGCCATTGCACTCCAGCCTGGGCGACAGAGCGAGACTACGTCTCAAAAAATGGAAATAAAATAAAAATTCAACTATAGAAGGAAGACCCCAAGGGGATGACTCTCCATACCTAATAAGCACAAATTTAGTTTACGTTTTAAAAGAAATCTTTGAATACAGAGCACTTTGAAGAAAAAGTTAAGTAAACCTACTATTGACTGTTAATGAACTACCGCATTTTAAATCCTCTGAATCTCCTGTGAGCCACTGTTTTATGAGAGTGACTCACCTAAACAGCATTTCACCAGCTTTAAAACAAACAAATTAAATGCAGAAGGGTCTCAACATGGATGTCTCAGAAGAATGAAACTAATACATTCGTTTGCTTCTGCATACCTTCCCTATGGCTTAGGGCAAATTAAATAATCTCTGTGCCGTAGTTTCCTTACCTGTGAAATGGGGCTGAAACTAGCACCTACCTCAGGATTCAGTGACTCAGTAGAATAGTACCTGACATGTAGGAAGTCCCATGTAGGTGTCAACCTGCTGCTGTTTTTATTTTTTAATTTTTTGAGATGGAGTTTTGCTCTTGTTGCGCAGGCTGGAGTGGGCTAGAGTGGTCTCAGCAAACTGCAACCTCCCAGGTCTCCCCGGTTCAAAGGATTCTCCTGCCTCAGCCTCCCAAGTAGCTGGGATTACAGGTGTCTGACGCCACGTCCGGCTAATTTTTGTATTTTTATTTTAGATAAGGCCAGGCACAGTGGCTCATGCATGTAATCCCAGCACTTTGGGAGGCTGTGACGGGCAGATCACCTGAGGTCAGGATTTCAAGACCATCCTGGTCAGCATGGTGAAGCCCCATCTCTACTAAAAATACACACACACACAAAAATTAGCTGAGCATGGTGGCGTGTACCTGTAGTCCTAGCTACTTGGGAGGCTGAGGCAGGAGAATCACTTGAACATGGGAGGCAGAGGTTGCAGCGAGCGGAGATTGTGCCACTGCACTCCAACCTGGGTGACAGAGCGAGACTCCCTATCAAAAAAATAAACAACACATAGAGACAGGGTTTCACCATGTTGGCCAGGCCGGTCTTGAACTCCTGACCTCAAGGGATCCACCCACCTCAGCCTCCCAAAGTGCTGGGATTACAGGCGTGAGCCACTGAGCTTGGCTACTTGCCGCTGTTGTTAGAGCTAGAAAAATTCTTTTCCTGGAGTGTTAGTGGCTTAAGGAACCATGATTATAGTGTTGGCGTCTCTAAAATGTATTTGCTTTGAGATTTTCCCCTTAAATGGCAGGTATTCTCCTAATGAGAAATTGACTTTGCATTCCTTTCTGAATTGAGACATTTCTTCCCCAAGAGGGAGGGGAATACTGCCCAGGCAGTGGCTCACACTTGTAATCTCAGCACTTTGGGAGGCCGAGGTGGGCAGATAACTTGAAGTCAGGAGTTTGACACCAGCCTGGGTAACATTGTGAAACCCTGTCTGTACCTAAAAAAACAAACAAACAAAAAATAAATAAAATTACCCAGGCATGGTGGCACATGCCTGTAATCCCAGTTACTGGGGAGACTGAGGCAGAAGAATTGCTTGACCCCAGGAAGTGGAGGTTGCAGTGAGCCAAGATCACGCCACTGCACTCTAGCTTGGGTGACAGAGTGAGATCCTGTCTCAAAGGAAAAAGAAAAAAGACAATAATGTCATGTGATTGGCTGGGTGCAGTGGCTCACGCCTGTAATCCCAGCACTTTGGGAGGCCGAGGTGGGCAGATCACAAGGTCAAGAGATCGAGACCATCCTGGCCAACTTGGTGAAACCCCATCTCTACTAAAAATACAAAAAAAATTAGCCAGGTGTGGTGGCATGTGCCTGTGGTCCCAGCTACTCAGGAGGCTGAGGCGGAAGAATCACTTGAACCCAGGAGGCGGAGGTTGCAGTGAGCCGAGCTTGCGCCACTGCACTCCAACCTGGCAACAGAGCAAGACTCCATCTCAAAAAAAAAAAAAAGAAAGAAAAGAAAAGAAAGAATGTCATGTGATGCAGGTGCAACTCAATCCCTGTTAATAAAAACCAATATAGGTATAGGCATTTTACCCTTTGAAATAGCTGTGTCTCAACCTGTTGCCATTGATTTTTTGGAAATGGCTTTAGAAATTTCCAGGTTGTCCTTGAATTGTCTAACCATGGACATAAACAGCTGTCTCCCTTCTGCTGTGTAGAATACTTTGACTTAATTTTCTTCCAGATACAGGGGGATACCTGCCTGTTTTTCAAAGTGTTTATTTACTGCTGTTACTATTTGATTAGAATGTATTAAATTAAAAAAAAAAAACAACCCTGATTTCTACAAAAAAAGAAAAAAAAGATGGAGTGGGGAAGCAAGGAGGTGCCCAGGTCTGCAGGGCAAGTGGCCAGGCTGAGTGGGTTCACTGGGCCTTCCTGAGCTGGGAAGGGGCGGGCTGGGAACAAGACCATGAAGCCCATCAGAGTGTGTATTTAGTAAATGCCATCGACTGTTGCTTTCTGAACATCCATCTTCCCCACTTCCCTTGGGCCTGTTTATCTGAGGCCCGTTTCCTCCCCTAGGTACCTCATGGCAGGGCCAGACTCAAGCAGTGAGGACGATGAGGCCTCTCACAGCGGTGGCAGTGGTGATGAAGCCCCTAAGCTTCCTCGAAAGGTTTGATGCCCCCTCTCCAGTGGGGGAGGGTGTAGTGGGAGGATGACATGGTTCTGCTGTGGCACCCCAAACTTCGTATTCCTGCCTCTTGCAGGTACCGCCCCATCACACCCACACTGTTCCTGCCCTCCTCACCCACCCACTCTCCCTCCTCAGCCTCCCCAGACCAAAACCAAGCCCACTCAGGCAGCTGGACCCAGCTCACCCCAGAAGCCCCCAACCCCAGAAGAGACCAAAGCAGCCTCACCAGTGCCCCAGGAAGATAGAGACATTGAGGGGGAACAGTCAGGTCAGACTCTGAGGGAGAAGGGGCTGGGGCCTGGACTCCTGAGTCTGAGAGAGGAGGGGCTGGGGCCTGGGTTCTGAGTCTGAGGGAGGAGGAGCTGGGGCCTGGACTCCTGGGTCTGAGGGAGGAGGGTCTGGGGACCTGGACTCCTGGGTCTGAGGGAGGAAGGGCTGGGGACATAGATCCTGGGGTCTGAGGGAGGAGAGGCTGGGGACATAGATCCTGGGGTCTGAGGGAGGAGGGGCTGGGGTTTGGACTCCTGCATCTGAAGGAGGAGGGGGTGGGGCCTAGACTTCTGGGTCTGAGGGAGTAGGGAGTGGGGCCTGGACTCTTGGGTTGAAGGAGGAGGGTCTGGGTTCTGGACTCCTAAGTCTGAGGGAGGAGGGGCTGGGGCCTGGATGACTGGATCTGGAGGGCAGTTGCAGCTGGGGGCATGAGATGCCTGGGTCTGTGCCATACCCATGCCAGGGAGGGCTGCTGGTCTTCCCAGGAGACAAGGCAGCCTTGCATTGATTGAGCTTCTCCTTGCAGAAGGACAGGACAACGGGGCAGAAGATTCTGGGGACACAGAAGATGAGCTGAGGAGGTAGGGCTGGGGCTGGGGTTTAGGGTGCCTGGCCTTGGGTGTAGGAGAGCTGCCCTGCATGCTCACTCTCTACCCCTCTTGGCACCCCCAGGGTGGCTGAGCAGAAGGAACACAGACTGCCCCCTGGCCAGGAGGAGAATGGGGAAGACCCATATGCAGGCTCCACAGATGAGAACACCGACGACGAGGAACACCAGGAGACTCCTGATCTGCCAGTCCCGGAGCTCCCAGGTGGGAAATCTCCCATCCCTCCCAAAGTGGAATTTTCCCTTCTCAATTCGAAGCTGCTACTTGCCCTGGCCAGCCCTGGGGTCACTGCTGCCCCATGTCTTGTCTCCCCTCTCCTTCTCCAACCCACTCCCTGCCTTAGCACCTCCAGGTTCTGCCAGGTTCCCTTCCCTTCAGCATCCTCTCCATGACTTGCCTTCTTCTTCCCTCCAGATTTCTTGTTCTGACTACTCCCCTTGCAGCCATGTACCAGGTGTGACCCCCCTTTTTTTCGCTTCACCCTCCCACTAGTGCTTCACTTGCCTGGGTGCAGTTCTTTTGGTCCAGAGTGAGGCCGGGTACACCAGGTGACAGGGGCACTGCCCTCCGTCAGGCCCTGGGTAGATGCACACCAGTGTTCGCTGTAACATCAGCCATCACCCTGGACATGGCTGCTGTTATGTGTGTTTGCATTTCCAGTGTAAAAGAATAAGAACAAAAGGAACCGAGGAAATTCTGCAGGGAGTTGTGGGATGGGGGCAGGGAGGCAGAGCTTCTTTGAGAATGAAGGGAGCGAGGAAAGGCAGTGAAGGAGGAAAAGAAGGGGCTGTGTAGTGGTGCAGTTCAGGGGCTACCGGAAGAGCCGTTTCCACACAGTTCCTCGAGAGTGATGGGCAGGAAGATGCTTTGATTCTCCAAAACCCCTAAAATGGCATCAGCAAATTGATGGCCTAGAATGTCACCTTCAAATGGAAGGAAGGAGGAGCCACTCCAAAGGTCAGAGCAAGAAAGGTGCTGGTTGGAAAGGAGAGCAAAGGTGAAGAAGTAGCAGATACTGATGTTTCCAACCTGGGTTAAGCTCATTAAGTGGCTCCAGCCAGGCCAGGTGCAGTGGCTCACCCAGTACTTTGAGAGGCCAAGGTGGGAGGATTGCTTGAATCCAAGAGTTCAACACCAGCCTGGGCAACATAGCAAGATCCCCTGGCTTTTTTTTTTTTTTTTTTGAGACAGAGTTTTGTTCTTATTACCCAGGCTGGAGTGCAATGGCATGATCTCGGCTCACAGCAACCTCTGCCTCCAGGGTTCAAGTGATTCTCCTGCCTTAGTCTCCCAAGTAGCTAGATTACAGGCATGTACCACCATGTCTGGCTAATTTTGTATTTTTAGTAGATACAGAGTTTCTCCATATTGGTCAGGCTGGTCTTGAACTCCCGACCTCAGGTGATCTGCCTGCCTTGGCCTCCCAAAGTTCTGGGATTACAGGGGTGAGCCACTGCACCCCGCCTTGACTTTAGGTCTTTACAATTTTAAAAATTAGCAGAGCATGGTGGTGTGCGCCTGTAGTCCTGGCTGCTCAGGAGGCTGAGGTGGGAGAATTGCTTGAGCCCAAGAGTTTGAGACCAGCCTGAGCAACATGTCAGTACCCCGTCTCTCTACAAAAAGTTTAAAAATTAGCTGGGTGTGGTTGCCACAAGCCTGTAGTCCCAGCTACTGGGGAGGCTGAGATGGGAGAATCACTTGAGCCCAGGAGGCAGAGGTTGCAGTGAGCCATGATTGCTCCACTGCACTCCAGGCTGGGCGACAGAGTAAGCCTTTGTCTTAAAAAAAAAAAAAAACAACATGAGAAATAAGTAGCTCCAGCCTGTCTGTCAGAAACAAATCACAGCTGGGCGTGGTGGCTCATGCCTATAATCCAAGCACTTTGGAGGCCAAGGCGGGTGGATTACCTGAGGTCGGGAGTTCAAGACCAGCGTGACCAACATGGTGAAACCCCATCTTTAAAAAAAAAAAAAAGAAACAAATCACAGTAATAGTCATTGTATCTTATACTGTTAAAGCAAGCAAACCAACCAACCAACCTACCTCCCTGGAAGGCTCTGATGGGCTGCTGGGCAGGGGGCCCACTGCCTGCGATCAGTCCCCACCCACATGTGGACAGCCCTTTCCTCAGTGGCTGGGTCAGCCTCATCACTCCTGTCCGGTGCCTGGGAACTCCTGGGGCTTCACGATGACCTTAGCCCTCTTCTCTCCTGCAGATTTCTTCCAGGGCAAGCATTTCTTCCTTTATGGGGAGTTCCCTGGGGACGAGCGGCGGAAACTCATCCGATACGTCACAGCCTTCAATGGGTAAGTCTCCAGGGGCTGGGGTGGGGAAGGGGTGATGGGTCCAGGGCAGGGCTCAGGGACCTGCTGGGAGGGGTGGGGGTGTGGGAAAGACCATCAGGAGGATGGAGAAGGGCCATGTCCAGTAGGCAGGCACAGGCCATGGAGTCCGAATGCCAGCTTTCCCACCACTGGAAGCCTAGGATGCATTGCTCGCCTCAGTTTCCTCTTCTCTATGGTGAGAATCCCTAGCCCTACCCCTGCTTCTGAAAGGACCAGCCTGAGGATTAGCCACTGTGGGAGTTCTGGTCATTGTGGCTGTGGCAAGATGGATACATGGAGGAATGGAGGCACCAAAGGCAGCCTAGAGGGGGTATAGGAGGGGACAGTGTGAGGACAGCCATTGAGAGTGGTTGGGGCATAGGATGTCAATGTTGATTCCCTGATGTTCCTTCTACCTCTTTTCTCCTCTCCCACCAGGGAGCTTGAGGACTATATGAGTGACCGGGTTCAGTTTGTAATCACCGCACAGGAATGGGATCCCAGCTTCGAGGAGGTGAGTCCCAAAGAGGCAGAGAAAGGGAGACCCTGGCACACCCTTGCATCTCCTCCATCCTCTCCTGATGACACATTCTCCTGTGGACTCCGCCCTGCCCTGCAGGCCCTGATGGACAACCCCTCCCTGGCGTTTGTTCGTCCCCGATGGATCTATAGTTGCAACGAGAAGCAGAAGTTACTTCCTCACCAGCTCTATGGGGTGGTGCCGCAGGCCTGACGTATGTGCTGCACACACACATGTACACACATGTATGCACACACACCGGAAGTATGTGCTGCACACACACATGTACACACATGTATGCACACACACTGGAAGTATGTGCTGCACACACATGTACACACATGTATGCACACACACCTGAAGTATGTGCTACACACACATATCCAGAGAGAGAGAGAAGATGATGCATTTAATAAAGATGACTTGGTTTGGAGCAGCTGCCTGTTCTCATTCAGGAGTCACCCAAAACTCTAAGAGGCTCCCTGGGACCTGGGGAAGAATGCTGGGCCCCTCCAACAGAGATCTGGTAGAGAAAGAACTCTTTGTCTCTTCTGTTTGGCTCCTTATCCCTGTGCTGGCAAGAGGCAGGGAACTGGGAATCCGACCCTCAGCACTGCCCCTCAACTTGTTCTGGCCCTCTGAGCCACACCCATGTCGTGGCTGGAGGCCTGTCTCCTGAAGTCTCTGCGTCCCCAGGCCAGGGATAGTGGCTTTTCTCCAGGCTTTTCAGAAGTAGCTATATAATGAATGTCTGTCACCACCATGGTTTTATGTCACCTAATTTAGGAGACAGAATGGGAGGAAGGGACGTTTTAAGCAATCCACCCAAACCCTGGACCCCCCCTCAAGGCTCCACCACATCAAAGTGGGAACTGAGTGGAGTGTAAGGGAATCGGGGCAGAAGATGCAATGGTGCTCTAGGCAGAGACCACAGCATAGGCCAGGAGGTGGGAAGCAGCCGGAGGCAGGTAGAAGAGCATTGCTGCCTTTGGTGAAGAAGCTTTGGGGGCAGATTTAGAAAGCTGGGCACTCTCCTTGCAGCTCTGCTGTCGAGTATGATCACCACTGGGTACAGGTGACTATTGAAATTCATTAAAATGAAATGTAAACTTCACTTCTGCAGTCACACTAGCCATGCATTTCAGTTGCTCAGTGGCTACTATATTGGACAGCACAGAGAAATTCGCATCACTCTAGAAAGGTCTTTTGGACAGGGCTGGCCTGAAGATCTGCAAACTCCAGGCTGAGAATCTTGGACTTCAGTCAGAGGGTGCAGAGGTCAGGAGGGGGTTTGAACAGGGCAGAGGCCAGGGTCAGAGGTGGGTTTGAGAGCTGGTCTTTGGGCAGCCTATCCGTGGACATTCCAAGCCCTTTCTCAAATTTTGCCTCATCAACCAAGGGCTACCAGTCTCCTGTCTCTTTATGGACTTTTGTTTTTGCATCTTTAAGATGAGGGTTGCTTTATATTATTATTATTATTATTACTATTATTATTATTGGAGAAAGGGTCTTGCTCTGTTGCCCAGGCTGGAGTGCCATGGTACAATCACTGCTCACTTCAGCCTCAGTCTCCTCGACCTCAACCTGCTGGAATTACAGGCCCGAGCCACCGCACCCTGCGGGGATGTGAACATCTTTGGGAGGCCATTACTCTGCTTGCTACAGCCACCATGTGGGAGACACTGGGAAGACAGTATGAAAAAAACAGACAATAGTCCCTGATCTCATTGGCCTGACATTGTAAAGGGGGAGAGAGATGGTGCATGTGCAATGCAGCCTTGGACAGTGGGAAATGCTTTGAAAGCAAGGAAAACAGAGCATTGTGAGTGACAGAGCAATGGCAGGGTAGTTTAGATAGGGTGATTGGGGATGGCCTCTTGGAGCACTTACCCTCTGCAGGGACCTGGGAGAAGTAAGGAGTATCTGAGAGAGTTCTTCCAGGCAGAGGAAAAGCAAGTGCAAAGGCCTTGAGGCAGGAAAGAGCATTATGTGTTCAAGGAACAGCTGGGTGGGTGTCTGACTATCAAGAGACCCCAGATCCACCCAGACTCAGGCACTGCCCTATTGTTGGGTTGCCGATAAATCTCATCTTTCCTGGCCTCATTTCCCCCATCTATAAAAGTAAGGTTGGATCAGATCAGTGCCCTCTCAAATGAGTTTGTGTCCTTGAAACTTTGCTGCTGGTGTGGCTGCTTTGGAGAAACTCTTCCAGGGCAGCTCTCTGTATAAACATGGATAGAAGCAGCACTGCCAGGTTTGGAGGACAGAGTAGAACCCTTACCCCTTGCAGAACCTTCCCCTAAAGGCCTTACTGAGTAGAGTGCAGTACAGCAGCCTGCTGACTTCCATTTGCCTGCTCAGTCCTGGCCCTTAGGCTGGACACTTTCTTTCTTTTCTCCTATTTTTATTTTAAATTCAGGGGTACATGTGCAGGATGTATAGTTTTGTTTCATAGGTAAATGTATGCCATGTTAGTCTGCTGTACAGATCATCCCATCACCTGGGTATTAGGCCCAGCATCCACTGGCTATTTTTCCTGATGCTTTTCCTAGCCCCCTGCCTCCACCCTGACAGGTCCTGGTGTGTGTTGTTCCCACCATGTGTGTTTTTTTTTTGTTTTTTGTTTTTGAGACAGAGTCTCACTTTGTTGCCCAGGCTGGAGTGCAGTGGCACAATCTTGGCTCACTGCAACCTCTGCCTCCTGGATTCAAGTGACTCTCATGCCTCAGCCTCCTGAGTAACTGGGATTACAGCACCTGCCACCTGTTAGTAGAAGTTTCACCATGTTGACCAGGCTGGTTTTCAACTCCTGTCCTCAGGTGATCCACTTGTGTCAGCCTCCCAAAGTGCTAGGATTACAGGCGTGAGCCACCATGCCCAGCTGTGTCCATGTGTTATCATCATTCAACTCCCACTTATAAGTGAGAACATGTAGTGTTTGGTTTTCTGTTCCTGTGTTGTTACTTTGCTGAGGATAATGGCTTCCAGCTCCATCCATGTCCCTGCAAAGAATGTGATCTCCTTCCATTTTATGGCTGCATAGTATTCCCTAGTGTATATATACTACATTTTCTTTATCTAGTCTGTGGATACTTTCTACTCTCTCACTCCTTCCTCCACAACTTTCAGATCTCAGCTCATACATTACCTCCTCAACAAGGCCTTTCCTAACCTCCACTATATAATAGGATATGCCATGTATATACTCTTAAAATAGTACATCTTCTCCATCCTAGTCATAACTTTACATTTGTTTATGGTCACATTTACCCATCTTTTCATCTATGATTTACACTCTTTTGCCTCTTAAGGATACTGTCTCTACTTCTGGGGTTACTAAGATAACTATCCTTATTTCTATGTAAATATTTTTGAGTTTTTATCTTCAAATTCTTACACCCCTAGAAACTTACTTTTGTGTATGGTGTGAGGTAGGGATCTGTAGTAGTTTACCATTGTTGCTGTAAATTAGTGGCTTTAAACTACACAAGTTAATTTTATTATAGTTTTGGAGGTCAGTAGTCCAAAATCAGCCTAATTGGGCACAAATCAAGTGTCAGCAGGGCTACATTCCTTCTGGAGGCTCTAAGGAGGAAATTATTTCCTTGCCTTTTCTAGGCAAAATGCCTTGGGGCCTTTCATCACTTGAATATTTGATTTCATGATCACCTCTTTTTCTCTGTCTCCTGCTTCCCTCTTTCCCATATAAGGACCCTTGTGATTATACTGGGCCTATCTGAATAATCAGGATAACTTCCCCATCTTAGTCACATCTGCAATGTCCCTTTTGCTATATGTAAGCTAACATGTAGGTTCTGGGGATTCAAATATGGATATCTTTGGGGGATCATTCTTCTGCACACCAGGGGATTCAACTTAATTTGTCTCCATGTTTCTCAGCCTCATTTACTGGTTAGTCTGTCTGTCCTCCACTCATCCATGTCAAGGCTCGACAAACTTTTTTGCCCATAGGCAAAATCCAGCCTACCTAGAGTTTTGGTAAATGCTGGAATACAGCCATGCTCATTCATTTGTGTATTGTAATGTGTGTGGCTGCTTTCCTGCTACAGTGGCAGAGCGGAATAGTTGTGGTAGACACTGTATGGCCTGCAAAACTTAAAAATATAATAGATACAGATGGAGCCAGGTACAGTTGCTCATGCCTAGAATCCCAGAATGTTGGGAGGCCAAGGCAGGAGGATCTCTTGAGGCTAGGAGATTGAGACCAGCCTGGGCAACATAGCAAGACCCCATCTCTAAAAAAAAAAATTTTTTTTTTAATTAGCTGTGGGCTGGGTTAGGTGGCTCATGTCTGTAATCCCAGCACTTTGGGAGACCAAGGCAGGCAAATCACTTGAGGTCAGGAGTTTGAGACCAGCCTGGCCAACGTGACAAAACCCCATCTCTACTAAAAATACAAAAATTAGCTGGGCATGGTGGTGCACACGTGTAATCCCAGCTACTCGGGAGGCTGAGGTAGGAGAATCCTTGAGCCCAGGAGGCATAGGTTGCAGTGAGCGGAGATCGTGCCATTCCACTCCAACCTGGGTGATAGAGCAAGACTTCATCTCAAAAATAAAAATAAATAAATTAGCTAGGTGTGGTGGTGCATGCCTGTAGTCCCAGCTACTTGGGAGGCTGAGGTAGGAAGATCCCTTGAGCCCAGGAGTTCATGGCATGCCTCTGCACTCCAGCCTGTGCAACAGAGCAAGACCTTGTCTTTTTTTTTTTTTAAAAAAAAGATGCTTCTTGACTTACAATGGTGCTACATCCAGATGCACTCATCATAAAGTTGGAATATCCTCAAACCATTATAAATCAGGGACCGTCTGTATTCTTTGGCCTTTTATAGAAAAAGGTTGCCACTCCCAGATCTATATGTCCAGTTTGTCATATGTCAGCATAAGCACAGGTCTGTTTCTGAGCTCTCAGTTACCTTCATCTGGGCTGTTTTCAAGCCAACACCACCAATTTCATTACTGCAGAGGTTTGTAATAATTTTTGTATCTGGGTTGAGGGGGTGGAGAGCCAAGGCTCTCCTACTTGTTCTTCTAAATAGACTTGGGGCACTTTGGGAGGCCAAAGTAGGAGGACTGCTTAACTCCAGGAGTTCAGACTAGCCTGGGCAACATAGAGAGACCCTGCTTCTACATACATACATGCATACAGATATATACATACATACATATATAAATGAATGAATGACTTGGCTCCTGCTGCTTTTTTTTTTTTTTTTTTTTGAGGTAGAGTGTCTGTTACCCATGTTGGAGTGCAGTGGCACAATCTTGGCTCACTGCAACCTCCGCTTTCTGGGTTCAAGCGATTCTCGTGCCTCAGCCTCCCCATCCCAAGTAGCTGGGATTACGGGTCTGCACCACCATGCCCAGCCAGTTTTTGTATTTTCTGCAGAGACGGGGTTTTGCCATGTTGGCCAGGCTGGTCTTGAACTCCTGACCTCAAGTGGTCCACCTGCCTCAGCCTCCCAAACTGCTGGGATTATAGGCCTAAGCCACTGTGCCTGGCCTGCTGCTTTTTAAAATTAGTGTCCACTTTCCTCACTAGACCAGGTCTGTCTTCAACACTGTGCCCCCAACACCCCATGCAGCACAGAGGAGGTGCTTAATATTTGTAGAATGGATGAAGAACAATCCAGTGTTAAGCTTGCTCATCCTTATTTTATAATGGGAGAAACAGGCTCCACAAGGGGAACCGACTTTGCCTGAAGTGATGCTTGCCCCTTACAAATGCCTTATAACCCACCCATTTTACAGTAAAGGCATCTGAGTCCACAGGAGTGACAAAGCTTGTCAAAGGCCTGGCACTTCTAAGAAGTGGGTCAGGGATGGCTCTGAAGCTGGGGCTTTTTTTTCTCTTTTACAGATGGGCTCTTGCTCTGTCACCCAGACTGAAAGGCAGTGGCATGATCACAGCTTACTGCAGCCTTGACCTGCCAGGTCAAGTGATCCACCCACCACAGCCTCCCAAGTAGCTGGGACTACAGGTGCATGCCACCACACCCACACCCAGGTTTTTTTTTTTTTTTGGTAGAGATGGGGTCTTGCTGTGTTGCTCAGGCTGTTCTTGAACTTCTAGCCTCAAGCTGTCCTCCCACCTCGCCTCCCAAAGTGCTGGGATCACAGGTGTGAGCCACCATACCCAGCCTGCAGCTTGGGCTTTTCAGTGTCTTTGAAAGGTCAGTGGTATAGCCTTTGTTCTTGCTTTTGTCACCTAGTGTATCTTGGAAATCTTTCCATATCAGTACATATAGTGCTTCCTTGTTTCCTGTGGCTACCTATTCCATTCCGTGGCCGGAATTCAGTAGTCAGTTTTTGGGCACTTGAGTTGCTTCCCATCTTTGGCCACAACAGTCACACTGTGGTGAACACCCTTATACATGTCTTTTTTTACGTGCATGAGTTTATAGAATAAATTCCTACAAGTGGAAGAGTTGAAACAAATATGTATTTTCAATTTCTTAGATACAGTCACATGGCCAAAGGAGAGACACCGATTTAAACTTGTAACAACAACAAGAGAGCCTGTTTGCCCACAATCCTCATCAGCCTACAACAGTAGCAGACTTTTTTACCCTTGCCATGTAAGTGTGTGGGGAGAAGCAGAGCCAGTGCTGTCAAACCACAGCTTCACATCTATGGTTTGAGACCCAGTGCTAAACTGGTTGAGGCTTTATTCTCCCCAAAGCAGGGGAGCAAACAGTTCCTCGGGCTTTTGAGTTCGATCCCAGTACAAAGGGCCAATCCCTTGCCCTGCCAGCTATCTGGAAGAGGCGAGCTCATACAGCCGGGCTTAGAAATCCCACCTCTTACTGGCGAGGGCTAGGGGCAGAGGGGGACAGTGAGCCCAAGGGAGGGCTCAGTCTCTCTCCTCCTTGTGCTCCGCCTGGTGGTGGCTGCGTTGATGAAGGAGCAGGAGGCATCTCTGGCCAAAGGCCTGGCCGCAGCTGGAGCATCGGTGCCAGGCTGTGACCTGGCTGCTGGGCACAGTGGGGGGATCGTGACATAGGCGATGGGCGGCCAGCTTGGAGGGAAATGAAAAAGCCTTGGGGCAATGTGGGCAAGGATAGGGGCGGGCATCGGTGGAGTGGTGGGTGTGGCGGTGGGCCGCCAGCTTGGAAGGGTAGCAGAAAGACTTGGAGCAGTCGGGACACGGATAGGGGCGGGTGGGCGCGTGGGTCCAGAGGTGAGCCGCCAGCTTGGAGCGGTGGCCAAAGGCCTTCGGGCAGTGTGGGCACCGGTGTGGGCGGGCGCCGCTGTGCGTGAGGCGGTGGGCTGCCAGCTTGGAGGGGTAGGAGAAGGCCTTAGGGCAGTCTGGGCATGGATGGGGTCGGGCGCCACCGTGTGCTAAGCGGTGCGTGGCCAGCTTGGACGGGTACGAGAAGGCCTTGTCACAGTCGGGGCAGCGGTGAGGGCGCTGGGGTGGGGGCCGCCGGCGGGGCCTGGGAGGCGCGCCCGCAGATGACTGGCTGGGCTTCTGCGGTGGGCCCTGGTGGGGAGCTGGGGGACAGGAGGGCTGGTGGGCTCCAGGAAGCAGCCAATGCCCTGGGCCTAGACTAGGCTCTGCCACGACTTGGATATTTGAGGCGCACCTCCAAGTGTATCTGGGCACCTCAAGCATCACATTGAGACCCCCAAAATGGCATGTTTCTGCTCCCCTCTCCCCCTGGGGATCATCCTGAGGGACTCCAAAGGGTTACTTTCCTGGATCCCCAAAGCTACCAAGGCTTCATCAAACGGTATCCGTTTCTATTATCTTCCCAGTGATCACCCTGAAATCCTGCATGTCATCCCTGCCCCGTCCCTTCTGTAATTTTCTGAGCCCTAGCAAATGGTTACTGAGGCTATCTCTGAGCCAGATGGGAGGATTTCCCAGAATGTGGCATTTTTGGGGATCCCAAATAGTCGTCACCCTGGGCCTCAAACTTTCACCCTGAAATTCCCCTAGAATGATTATCTTAGTCCGCATTCCTGGTGAATGCTCTCTACTCACAGGCGGCGCCACTCTTACCTTCTTCGGTCACTGGTTCCTTGCCAGTGGGACTAGGATCCGTGGCCCCAGCCGTGGACTCCGCCCCTCGCTCCAGCATCTTGCTGGCACAGGAACCTAGGGGCAGGGCGTGGGTCGGGGGTGAGTCAGTGATTACCAGGCTGCTGGGGGTAGGGTTGGAGGGCCTAAAATGAGGGGTCGTTTAGGAGCGAGGTCTGTTATTATGGGATGCTAAGGCAAGGGCAGGCTTAATTGGGAGGCGGAGCCTAAGCATAATGAGCGGGACTATGCAAATTTAATTCAGAGATGGTCCCTTGGCTACCTAAACCCAAGGTTGGAGTCTTTGAGCAGAGTTGGCGGGGTCTCCACAACTCTAACTCCGCTGCTGTCCAGAGCTCGGAGCTGGCGGGGCATATGCCCAGAGTGGGCGGGACCTTCCCCACCTGACCCTGTCGCCCTGGAATGGGTGGAGCTATGCAAATAGGACCAAAGTGTTCAGAAACTAGACTAAGGGGGCGGGGGCCTTCGAGCGGAGTGGACAGGTCTTTCATCAGCGTCCCAGGGGAGGGGCCTATGCGTACAGTGGGCGGGGCTTTACGTCGAAGAGCTAGCTTTACCGGGTTTTGACTTAGTTCATTGACGCCGCGTCAACTGCGTCCTTCTTGCTGTTAAATTTCATCCCTGGCTTGGATGGGGCCGTGGAGGATGGAGGGCGGGCACCTGGAGGAATATACAGAAGGAACGTGGCATATGTCCCGCTTCAGAGGCCTCTAATGGACTTTTCCCTCAGAGTCCCAAGCGTAAAGGATTAAATGCTCCCCTCGGAATCAGGCACTCAGGCACCGATGCACCCTCCTAAGGCTCAGGCACTAATGCACAGTCCCTCCAGAATCTAGGCGTTCGGACCACCACCGGTCTCCTTCAGGGTGATTCTGGCATTCAGCCTGCAAGCCAATATCCGCGTCCGAACCCCTGCCCCCTCACCTGCAGGACGGCCCCTCCCCGGGGGCGGGGCTTTGGGCTCCTCCCGCCGCGGCCAGGACCGCAGCCGCCGTCGCCGCCGTCGCCGCTGCTGCACTGCCCTTGGCCCCACGGAGCTGCACCGCCCCACGGAACTGCCCAGCCCAGCGCGCGTCCGGCGACGGGGGAGGGCAGGGAAGGTAGCGCGCGCGAGCTGCTCGGCCCAACCTCATTTCCATCCCCTCCTCCCACGCTGGACCAGAGGGGGCGTCAGAAAGCATGCGCAGTGGCTGCTGGCAGAGGCTGAGGAGAGGGAAGACGGACTGGAAAGGAGGGACTGGGTGGGCCACGCAGGCAGGCAAGTTCGTGAGCAAGCGCGAAGCTACTGGCCAAAGGATCGAAGGAAAGTGCACGGCCGGTGGCGGGGCCTACGGTGCTGACTGGAGTCAAGCACGTGCAAGACTAACATGGACAAACTGTGCTTGGAGATCAGTGCATGCACCCCTCTTCTTTTCGAGAATTCCGCTGGATTCCATCTCCAGAGGTAGTTTCAAGAGCTTGCTGCTAATTCCACCCTTCAAGGCGTATGCAAAAAGTCTGTCCATTTCCTCAGGAGAGGGCGGAGCGGGACTCCAGAGAGCCAGTGTCCAATAAAACACACATTATTTGCATAGCGCCCCGGCACACTTCGTTATTGGGTGATTCAAGATCCTCAGCCACGCCCCCATCTACCTTTCCCCCTCCTGGGACGCCTGGGTGGTCCCGAGGTGCCCTGGCCCTTTCTCCTGGTGCTAGGCCCCGGGTGGTGTGCGGCTTGGCATTCTTCCCGAGCAGTGGCGGTGCGTTTTCCTGCCTGGTGCAGGAAGGACCGGGAAATGCTCATACAAGTCCTCTGCGTGGGTGGGTCTCCAGTCCGATAATCCACAGGTCTGGCGATTCCTGGGAGTTTGTTCGGTGGGGTTATTTGGACTCTGGAGCCAGATTGCCTGGGTAACTGGCTTGGAATCGGTTGTGCCACTTTCTAGCCGTGTGACCCTTTTTAGATCTCTTTCTAGGCCTCTTTCCTTATCTATAAAATGGAGGGTTGTTGGGATTAAGTATGATAATCAATGGAAAGTGTTTAGAATAGAAAGTGCCTAGGCCGGCCTCCCGGTCTCACGCCTGTAATCCCAGCACTCTGGGAGGCAGAGGTGGGCGGACCACTTGATCCCAGGAGTTCCAAACCAGACTGGTGCCAGGGGTAGCTCAAGCCTGTAATCCCAACACTTTGGGAGACGGAGGCCGAAGGATCACTTGAGGTCAGGAATTCGAGACCAGCCTGGCCACCTTGGTGAAACTCCCGTCTCTACTAAAAATACAAAAATTAGTCTGGAGTGGCGGCGCGCGCTTGTAATCTCAGCTATTCCAGAGGCTTAGGTGGGAGGATTGCTTGAACCCGAAAGGCGGAGGTTGCAGTGAGCCGAGATCAAGCCACTGCACTCCAGCCTGGACAAAAGAGCGAGACTCGCCTCAAAACAAAAAACAAAACCCAACCAAACAAAAAAACCCAGTCTGGGCAACATAGTGAGACACCCCCCGCCCCCCGCCCCGACCCCTGCCCCCCAAAAAATTAGCCTGGCTTAGTGGCAGCCTGTAGTCCCAGCTATTTCTCAGGGGTAGGGAGGGAGGACTGATGCAGGAGTTCAAGTCTGCAATGAGCTAGGATTGTGCTACTGCACTCCAGCCTGAGCAACAGAGCGATATCTTACATCTTTAAAAAATTTAAAAAAATAATTATTCACTCATCACCAGTGTCGTTTCATTTACCCATCATCCACTCTTCCCAAATGATTCTGAAGCTAAATGTCAAACATCATATCTCATAAATATCCTTTTATTACACTTGATTTGCTTGACTCAAGATCTAAATGAGCTCCACGCATTGTATTCATTTGCAATGACTCTTTGGTCTCTCTCCCTTTTTATTTTTTATTTTTCAGATGGAGTCATGCTCTATTGCCCAGCCTGGAGTGCAGTGGCACAATCTTGGCCCACTGCAACCTCTGCCCCCTGGGTTCAAGCAGTTCTCCTGCCTCTGCCTCCCTAGTAGCTGGAATTACAGGCGTGGGCTACCACACCCAAATAATTTTTGTACTTTTTTTTTTTTTTTTAATCGAGACGGGGTTTCACCATGTTAGCCAGGATGGTCTTGATCTCCTGACCAGGTTATCTGCCCCCCTCGGCCTCCCAAAGTGCTGAGATTACAAGCATGAGCCACCACGCCCGGCCTAATTTTTGTATTTTGTAATCCCAGCTACTTGGGAGGCTAAGGCAAGAGAGCTTGAACCCAGGAGACAGAAGTTGTGGTGAGCCAAGATCACACCATTGTACTCCAGCCTGGGCAACAAGAGCGAAACTCCGTCTAAAAAAAAAAAAATTAGCTGGGTGTGGTGGTGTGCACCTGTAATTCTAGCTACTTGGGAGGCTGAGACAGGAGAATCACTCAAACTCAGGAGGCGGAGGTTGCAGTGAGCAGAGATTGCACACACTGCACTCCAGCCTGGGTGACAGAGTAAGACTCTATTTCAAAAAAAAAAAAAAAAAAAAAAAGGAGGTGGAAAGGGTGGGAAGAAGTCAAGGATAGTGACAAAATAACGATGCCAAGTACCATTGAGAGCCTGTGCTATGGCAGGTTATTCAACTATTTTCAACCTCATTTTGCAGATAAGAAAACTGGAACCCAGAAGATAAGTTTTCAGCCCAAGGTCCTACAGCTGAGAAGGGTGAAGCCAGGGTTTCTAACTCTTAGAACATCTCACAGCTGAGCCTATAACACCACCCCACCCTCCCCCTCTCCACCCACCCGTGTGTCTTCAAGGGACAGGTAAATGGCCTAGAAATCCCATAAAAACAACAGGAAAGGGAGCCAGGGGTGAGAAGGTCTTATTTGGGGGACCCTCTCAGTAAGGAATGTCTGAGGGTCTTCCTTTTCCTGTTTCCTCCCTCCCCTGAGCTCCCCTAATCCCTACACCTCCCTGTACCTCAGCCCTGCTGTGGCTACCTCTCTCCCCTACCAGCTAGACTGAGTCACCTCTGGGTCCTCAGCTACATCTAGCTTGAGCCAGGTATACACAAGGACTCTTGCCTGGAATAAATGAGAAACGTTCTCTTGGCTCTGAGCTTTTTTTTCTGCCTGTTTCAAGACTAACTGGGTATCTTCTCTTCCCATTTTTTTTTTTTTGAGACATTCTTGCTCTGTTGCCAAGGCTGGAGTGCAATGGCACAATCTTGGCTCACTGCAACCTCTGCCTTCTGAGTTCAAGTGATTCTCATGCCCCACCACACCTGGCTAATTTTTTGTATTTGTTTTTATTTTTAGTAGAGATGGGGTTTCAACATATTGGCCAGGCTGGTCTCAAACTCTTGACATCGAGTAATCTGCCCTCTTCAGCCTCCCAAAGTGCTGAGATAACAGGTGTGAGCTCAGCCACATAAAATTTTAATGAAGCAATTTGATAGGCTCTAGACAAAGCAGGCCTTCTCTGTGTAGAGTGATTAACACAGGGCCTGCTCTGAGAATAGCTCCAGGCATCATTCCCTGGAAACTCCAGAATTAAGATGTTGTTGCAGGAAACCCCTTCTCAGAAGCTCTACAGGGTACAGGCTGACACAGCGGCTCATACCTGTAATCCCAGCATTGTGAGAGGCCCAGGTGGGAGGATTATTTGAGGCCAGGAGCTGGAGACCAGCCTGGGTAACATAGCAAACTTCTGTTTCTACCAAAAATTTTAAAAATTAAACAAAAAAGCTCTCTCCCTAAGCTGGAAATCAAGGCTGCTCTGATTTCACAAAGTGGCATAGATCCTCCAGACGAGACTGGGATGTCCTATTTTCACTACCGCTATGATTCCAAAGAGCAAACTTTCTGACAGCTCATAACTTGAGACCACAGTTTCTCAGCCCCAGTCCTTGGTGTAAATGAACAAAATTTGTTTTCAGAGGTTCACACCCCAACAGAAGATGAATAATCCCCAATCTGATTATTCAATAGATGATGCAAAATTATCTTTTCTTTTTGAGACAGTCTCGCTCTGTCTCCTGGCTAGAGTGCAGTGGCATGATCTCGGCTCACTGCAACCTCTGACTTCTGGGTTCTAATGATTCTCCCGTCTCAGCCTCCTGAGTAGCTGGGACCACAGGCGCGTGCCACCATGCCCAGCTAATTTTTTTTTGTATTTTTAGTAGAGATGGGTTTCATCAAGTTGGCCAGGATGATCTCGATCTCTTGATCTCGTGATCCGCCCACCTCGGCCTCCCAAAGTGCTGGGATTACAGGCGTGAGCCGCCGTGCCCTGACCCATGTGTGTGTGTGTGTATGTGTGTGTGTGTGTGTGTGTGTGTGTTTAGATTTCTTCCTGGAAAGAGAGAAATATCCCTGATAAAATGTTTATGCAATTTCTGGATGAACTTTAATGGGATCAAGTGTTGTTCTGGTAACCAGACACCCACTCAAAAGTCCCTCAAGATATTAATGACCTAGAACCTAACTTTTTTTTTTTTGAGACGGGTTCCCTCTGTCTCAGGCTGCAGTGCAGTGGCGCCATTCCGGCTTACTGCAACCTCTGCCTCCCGGAACAGAACATCTTTTTCTAACAATGACTATCCAACCACCCGCTAGAAAACGGCCCCACGGGACGCGGTGACTCACGTCCGTAATCCCAGCACTTTGGGAGGACAAGGTGGGAAGAATGCTTGAGCTCAGGAGTTTGAAATCAGCCTGGCAACACAGGGAGCCCTCCGTCTGAAAAAAAAATAAAAATAAAAAAAAATTAGCCGGGTGTGGTGGCATCGTGCCATAGTCCCAGCTACTCGGGAGACTGAGGTGGAAGGATCGCTTGAACCCGGGAGTTTAAGGCTGCAGTGAGCCGAGATCGCGCCACTGCACTCCAGCCTGGGTGACAGAGCGAGACTCTGTCTCAAAATATAAAAAAAAGAAGAAAAAAAAAAAAAACCGCCCCCAGGCTGTACTGGGGCCTCTCCTGGAGTTTCTACTTCTCTCCTAGCCTATCTCTGTTCCTACATGAGCATGCCCGTGTGTGTCCGAGCGTCTGTCCCTCGCACTTTTGAGTGTCTCCCTGTTCTCTGTTTCTCTGGGTCTCAGAGCGTCCCTGCGTTGCATTCTGGCTTCCTCGGTCTCGCCCTTGCTCTCGCCCCTGCCCGTCTCTGCGACGCCCCGCCCTCCATCCCGGGCGTCCGGGGCTCCTTTAAGGCGTGCCCCGCCCTCCATCCCGGGCGTCCGGGGCTCCTTTAAGGCGTGCCCCGCCCCCGCCCCGCCCCTCCCCGGGTCAGTGCGTGAGCCTCTGGCTGCTGCTGGCGCTCGGCCTCCGCTCAGTCCTGACCCTGCGGTGGGCGCGATGGCGGGGGCTGTATTGAGGGTCACCCAGCGGCAGCTGAGCCAGCGCGGCAGGTCCGAAGCCCCCATCCTTCTGCGGCAGGTGCGGGTGGCTAGACCCGGGGGGCACTACTGGGCGTTAGGCGGCAGCAGGGGCGGAACTCCGGGGTTTCTTAACCGGGAGAGATCTGGGTGACCCACGCCTGGATCTTGCGGAAAGCGGGATGGAGGTTTAGGGCGGGACTCTTGGGTCCTTTAAAGGTCTAGGGGCTCCTGGGCTTGGGGCGGGACCCC